ATTTGCTACGTGATAGGTTCCTCTAAATTGAAGATACCTTGAAGAAGGTCAAAAGGTGCGGCTTGGGCACCTGTAAAAGCGACACTTGTTACATTACATTGGTGTTACAGTTTTCACAGACAAATGACGTTGTATAGTCACATCTGATGTTAGCTAATGCTAGCAAAAAAGCTAGCTAACGTAACTGTAGCTACATCAAGACAAGTTAGCCTAATGTCTGATCACCAACATCTGCCAGATTTGCTTCCTCCTTATTCTTGAGGCAATGTTGAAGAGATTTGGAAAGAGATAGAAAGGTTAGTTGCTGACATATTTTTCAAATGACATGAATTATTAAGACTAACATTCTTTTGTTTATCTACATATGTACATAGCCTATGTACATAGGCTACATGGCGCCCTGAGGTAACTTTTGGTGCTATTTTTTGGATATTCACAACATCTAGCATCCTATCCTGAACATCTCCTTCAATCACATGAAGCTCTGAAGCTATCTAATAAATCTATCTACCTTGCGAAAGTAATTAAGGGGCAGTATTTGGACTGGTCAATTAATCCTACAGTTCTTTGTTTCTATTGGCCTTTTTCACTCTCACAATTCTCCATCACCTCTTTATTTCCTCTGTTTCTCAACCGAATACCATATTGCTTGCCACATGCTCTTTTTGGGGTGTTAAAAACTTTCCTACCTATTTCCTCTGCTCTTAGTAACATTTCCTACTCCCTCACACCTCAAATGATTTTATTGTTTCATTTTATAACCTATTTACTGACCAGGAACTATGACTCTTGTCACAGCTATTTGTTTGTAGATAATCTGGATATTCAAAGCTCATTTCCATGTGTGACTCACTGCAAGTCTCCCTATGACAAGAGGGTAAATAAAGGTGTGCCAGTAATATAAACCCTTGCATACAATTTAACAGGCCTGTTCATAAAAAAATGTGACAACATGGCCTTCATGAAAATACATACCTCCGATTGTGCTCTCTTGGAATTCGTGAAACTGTCCCTTGACGAAACGAAGTACGAGACTTGACTTCCCCACGGCTGACTCTCCTAGAAGCACGAGTTTGAACTGGCAGATCTTGTTGCCTGCGTTTGGCCCATTGGGTCGTGTAGCTCCACTTCTACTTGCCATGTCACACTGCCCGGTCTCTTCCTCTGGACGCTGACGTGCTGTGAGAAACTGCAGAAAATACCTGAGCAGGAGAAGAAAGAAAGAAAATGTCACTCTCATGTAAACAGTCTAAATGATCAAAAAACAAATGTAAGAAGACAGTTTATGTTCAAGTTGAACTTTAGAGGTTTGCTGCATGTATTAGAAAATTAAGAGTATACTTTGATCTTTTATTGTCCGAAAGTATGAATCATGACTATAACAAGCAAAGCACTATCTGATGATTTTGTTAAATTACTTAGCTGTAGCTTTTGGTGGCATACAGCAATTGGTGCATAGTTATTTCGCGGTTTAATACTAAATAAGACAAGTATTTTTACCATGGATAAATCAGTCTAAAACATTATGGCCATGTAACAGAGAACAAACAAACTGCACAAGCAAACTCTATTTCAACAGTTAAGTTTTATGCAAAAACCTTTTACATTCACTACAAAGTAGATAAATCTTGTCCAAGTGTGCAGCTCATTACTGACCTACACCACTTAACGCAGCATACCCAGTTGGTGTTGCATATGTATGCCTGTATGGTTATCTCAAGACCTTGGAATAATCCTGAAATATATTATACTATACTTTTACGTAACAGTTCCCGACAAAAACAGGACTACCTGTACTGTCGGATTACATGCTTTGAAATTAACAAAAAAAAAGTGAAGTCATCTGTTGGAAACTATTTTGTGCGTGCACAGATTTCTTTTTAGAATGGGGGAATGTCTAGGAATTTCAATGTAGATATATCTTTTAACACAAGCAGTCCAAACCCAGAGACCAAGATGTAACTGACGACATGGAGGGAAATTTACTGTATTTCACTTCACATTGAGTCAACAAGAGTTTCACATTACCAGCCGCACTTTGTTTCCTCTCCAAACAATAGCTGGTTGCTTGCCATAACTAGCTGAGCAAATACGTGTAACAGGTATGGCAAAAACATGGCGGGGTATGGCCGATACTGTGGTGGGTCCGCCTGACAGTGACCCCAAGATTTAGGCATCTGAACTTGTGCTTTCAAAGTCCCTCACCTGTGTCAAGGCAGCTGCAACATCTAGAAATGTCAAAAAGTTGACCAACTGGTGTGACTGTAACAACAAAACCTCAGGTAACTCCTGCTTATAGCTGCAAGTTATGTGAGGCAGAGTGTCACAAAGGGGATTAGTATCACACGGGTCTGGGCACATATGTGGGGAAATGAGTCAGGGTTGAGTTACAAACTGCTTTCTATCTGCCGGTGTGTAGATTTAAGGTGAATAACAACATCAATCTTATTCACCACACAACAGCACGTAGACATTTCTCATTACCACACACCAGGAAAGTACAGAGCATAAGTCCAAAAATAATTACTGTCAACTTCGTCGAAATCGCGTTACGACACAGTTAACCACAAATAACCTGTTATGTTGTTGTTGACTGGCTCGAATTAGCAGAGTAATGACTGCTAGCGTTAGCAACATAGCTACCTAGTAACTTCAAAATGTCTAGCCCAAAACCAAACTCTGCCTTTAAGGAAGCGTTAGCCTGCTCATTGTTGGTTTAAATCCTAATACACACCATGCTCACACACACCACATCTATCATTTAACTCTACATAACGTCTGAGAATGCCAAAACACAGATGATGCAGTTTTGGGTGTGTACAGCTAATGACAGCTAGCTAACCATAGCTGCATGACGTTAATTTAGTGAGCTGCCTCGTCAATCACTTGGCGAAATAGAGTCGCAGATGTTTGTTATATTAACGTAGGTTAACATATGCAGTCTAAACATGCCGACTGATCCGCATTCATCAGCCGTACAACGTTAAGTTCCTCTGCTAACTAGCTTGGCCCTTCCAGTGTCGGCTAGCTAACGTTAGCTAGCCACATAATAGACACAGGGCTGTAAGCGAACGTTGTTTAGCTGTGGCCGCATCGGGAGGAGCCCTTAGCTAGCGAGCTAACGCTAATATTAGCTACTCACCTACCAAAAAGAGGAAGCTAGTTAATGTGAATGGCGTCTCCGGGACAGTCTTTGTGGCACTTCAGTGTCTGTTCACAGTGTCTCGATCACCCAGCCAGCGACCGTAACGTTAGGTTTCATAAAGCTCCGCGATGTCCCTCTCCCACTTCTTTCAACTTCCCTTTTCGCATTGTACGAAGGATGATGACAGATCGTATGACTGGAATTGACAATCCGCCTACGTACTGATGCGACGGACCAATCACATGTTAGGATTTATTCCCAATTTTTCTGGTATGTGCCTTTCCAAAAAACGACAAGACACAGCAAGTGAAACTATTAAGAGTTTCTGCGGGGTACTGGGCCGACAAGATTAATTAATACTCCTGGCATGAAAAAAGCAGCATGTCCAGTACTACATGACGAATATTAGGGACTGTACTTAACTTATCAGAGGAGGGGTGTGACTTGCTTTTTTTTGACTCTCTTGGAAGCTACAAATATTATTCTTGAGCCTCCCTAATTGACTGGAGGAAAATGTATGATCCTCCCTCCACCATAATAACTATATTTTTATTAATATATATGCACACCAAATGTAGGCTACCTAAGTGTAACAGGGTCAATTATACACCAGTTATATGTGTGTAAAAAAGTCAAATGTACATTTGTAATATTCAGTATTATAATTACACAAAGTTTGTCTCAGTTGTTAATATCTGACAGGCTCAGGGGTCGTACACATGCCATGCTTTTTGCACCCTCAAATTCATTATTTTCAATGCAGGCACGCTCAAACGCACAGGTGCAGCAGCTGCGCTCTAAGATAAACCGAGTTCAACTTTGGGAACGCATCAGTGCTCATGTGATGAGGAACAACCAATCACAGCCGACAGACACCTCTCCTGTCTTCCGTAAATATCATGTTAGTGCAGGGCTACCCAGAGCTTTACATCTGTCCCATGGATGATAGGCCTACACACTTATAAAAAGCACCTGGAAGCACCATATCATAGCCTATTTACCTGAAATCCCGAGTGCAGAGCTGATCTTCTTCCAGGAGCTGTTTTTAAGTGTGTAGGCCTATCGTCCGTGGGACAGATGTAAAGCTCTGGTAGCCCTGCACGGAAATGCTTAACTTCTCCATATTTATCACAGACTGATATTTACAGAAGAAGGGAAAGATGTCTGTGAGTTATGATTGGTTGGTCCTTGCCACATGACATGCGGTGCGTACTGCTATGTTCCAAAAGTTGACCTCTGTTTATCTCAACGTGCACCCTAAAAAACAGGTGCTTGGGAACACGCCTGCTGCACATCCATATTAAAAACAGTTTATTCAAAGGCGCAAAAATGTGGCATGTGTCTGTCCCCTAATTAGCACATGATGTGTTGAGGGACCACTAGAATTTCAAAATCTGACATTTTATGTTTTTACCGTTTCTGGCCATGATATATATGGTGTCATTTTGGTGAGTCTTAGATAAAAACATGCATTTTAAACCTGCTAGTAGGATCTGGGGTTAAAGTAAATACAAAATACGACCATTTAAAGTTGTGTCCATCCTCTAAGCCAAAATAAAAACACGTCCTTCCCCAGTGCTTAAAATATACTTGACATGCCTCCCCTATTTTACACCACCCCCTCCCTCCTCATAAATAACGAACAGTCCCTTAGTCGTATTTGTGATTAACATCATTTATCACTTAACATAACTGGGTCACACAGTGTATTTTCATTTTATATCCCCATTAGCTTACACCATTTTATATTCACAACATATTTTAAAATAGTTTAACAGTATCTTTAATTGAACGGTCTGACGTTGCTAGGCAACGGAACTCAAAACAGGTGCGACACCGAGCGTCTAACTGAAGATTCTAGTGTAGCGTTAGCATAGCTGCAAAGTTCTGTAAAACTTTCCCAGGTAGAAAAGACGAACGTTACAGACACAATTTAAAGACTTAACGCAACTTGGTTGTCTCTGTTGCTGCTACACGTGATATGAAGATGGATACAACTGACGGAAATACTTCGTACAAAGTGAAATATGCAGATACATGTCCAAACATACCGATGGTAAGTCAACTTTAAGATGCTAGCTAGCTAACGTTGCGTTAGCTTAATGCTACTATACTGAGTCTGAAAGCTGTCGAGCGTTTTAATAAACCTTTGTCTTTTTAATCAGTTTTTATTTATTTATTTATTTATTTATTTATTTATTTATTTATTCACCAGGCCGGTAAACGCATACCCGTGGGAGACAGGGCTAAATCCTGCCTACAAGAAGCTGCAAGGGTAGGTTCAATTTTAAAAGTGTGTGTTAGCATTATGACAGTGGGATGTAACGTTAGTTTGCTGTTGTGTTGCATCTTCATCTCTGGAGTACATATCTATATATACAATATCAGTTTTATCTCTAGGTTCTTTGGTATGACTATATAATATAAGTGACAGCTTTGTACATTTTGAAGGTGCATGTCCACTCATATTTGCCTTTTCAACATTTTTACTTTATTTCTTAAGACATTTTTTATTTGCAAATTCAAGGTCACACATTAAAACATAGAAATGTACACTGCCATCTTCAACATTCCCCCACTCCCCACATTAAAATTCAGCTCACAGAATCTACTTGCACTTCATGGTGGAAAGATAAGATAAATAATAGAGGCAAAAATAATAATAAATAAAGGTGCAAGTTGTAGTTAGCAAGGTTTCTGACTTCACAAGCCAGACCAAAGTCACTTCAGCATGTTTAATGTGTCTCAAAACGGAGTGAGACCACTCACACACTTGTTTCATCATTACAGTGAACATTTCAATAGTTGATTGTTCCCCTTGCCTCTTGTAATAATATTACTCCCCCAATTTTTGTCAAGCTTGTAAATATTTCTTTCATTAAATTACATTAAGACCATTAGTATTCTGTGAAACTCTTGTTATCTCACTCATTTCATACATGTCTTCAAATGTCTTCTGTTTGTATGTTTTGTTACACTCATTATTCATGACAGTGTCCAGTATTTTTTTGTCTACATCTCCACACCAAAGGACAGTAAAAAAAAAAAAAAAGGAAAAGTGATAAATAAAATACTCCTTACCAAACCATCATTCTCCATGATGGCCTTGTTAGCTTGCCATGCAGCTTCTCTTGCATGGTTTCCAGGTTCCTGTCCCTTGAGCAGAACCTCTCACTTCAGTTTTTAAATGTGTTTAGCGGCCAGTATTCATCTCCAAACTGCAAAATTTTCCTCCTATTTTTACTTTTACATTGAAACTCCTCATTTTTGCAGTACAGTAAAGAAAGAAAAAAAAAACAGTCATTGCACACACTGTCCCTTAACATCGTCACTTTCCAGCCCCTGACCCCACCTGTGGTAAGGAAATTCCGCAACAGCATCCAGCCAGAACCGGGATCTATCAGAGTTCACCAAGGGAAGGCAAATGATCCAGATGTTGCAAGCACCCTTGTTCATGGCATCAGCACCAAATCTTCCCTCAGTGTGAGTACCACACACAAGCACACACACACCTTAATGTGGGTTAAAGGTGCAATAAGGAGAGTTTTTACTGCTCCAAATTTGATGGGTTGATTTATTTTTAGATCACTGCTAAACAAATCATTCATTACTCTGACTAGTCATGAGATTCATGGCTTTCAAAACTAACATGTTACCTGAATTTAGGAGCAAATATTTGGCAAATGGATCAATTCAGGGGAAAATCAGTGTCAGTTTGACTGTATTGTGTTCAGTATTTGTTTCACTGTGTAGCACATGCTAATATAAAACACAGTGCGATTAGTTTATGGCACAAGCTGACTTCGCATACAGTTTTAGCGCATACAAAATTTTGATGACACACCCAGAATATGACTTTAACTTCTCTAATTTTTTCTGTGATTCCAACAGGGCAGAAGCTTGCTAAATCCTCCACAAAAGACCTTGTTCCAGCACAAGTTACAGGAGCTCAGTGAAGCAGTGTATGCCTCCAGTAAAAAGGCACCAGTGGGCAGGTCACACGATCAGCGTGTTGGACTTCCCATCAGCACTAACGACAAAACTACGTATGGTGTGAAAACAGTTAGAGGTATGTGTATCGTTAAATAAAATCATGACCGACACAATTTGATTTAAAAAAAAAAAGACAAAGATGCTGTAACATGAACATGCAAATATTTATCTTCTCTCATCAAAAAAGTCAAACTTGTCCTCAGATTTTTAAAAAGTACTATGTTTTAGGTTTCTAAATAATTATATTTAGAGTAGAAATGTTGAGCCTCCTCTCTTTTGTCCAGGGCTGGATGTGCGTGAGATTATTAACCCCTCAAAAACAGCAGAGGAGATGGAGAAGGAAGCTCAGGAGGGACACGAGGCTTACATTCGTAGCCACAACGCCTATTTTGTTGGTAAGTAGAATGAACTACCAATAATCTATTTGTTGAATTTTGTTGATAATCTTGTAATGTGATGTCTGCCTTATACAATAAAATCACCTTGCTCTACCACAGGTGAGCGGATTGACAGAAAGTACGACTGGAGTCACTACAGTAAAGACAGCAGGTTTGGGATCCTCACACCTCATTTCAATGACGGCCGTAATCTCAGCAAATCTCTCCACTGGCTGGGAGAGACACAGAAGTAAGTGCTGAAATAAGTGGGTATAAGTATTTTGTTGTTAATTTCCATAACACATTGAATTAATTCAGTGTATACCTTAAGTTAAAGGAGAATAAATTGTACCTGACCCTGTACTCATATCATTGTGCCGTAGGTTTTACAATCCAAAGGCTGTTTGGAAGAGATCTGGGAACAGGGAAAAGCTGGCGCAACAATTTGGCGTAATGAACAATGTGTAAGCTTCACATTTCTTCAGACCAATTCTGTGACCGCTGACTTTATTTTGTTAACTAATGTTTAACTCTCAATAAACTCATCTTTTTAGGAGGAAAAATACCTTGAATGTTCCACCAGATCACACCTTTGGAGTTGCCTTGCCACTGGATGAATTTGGTAGAGTTTATGTGAAAGAAATTCATTCCTGGGTTACTCATTGGAATATCAGTAGATATATTGTGCCCTGAAAAAACACATACTGGACCAGTTTTGGGGTTTAAGTCGTCAAATGACATTTTGCCCGTTTCCTGCACAGGTGTTGGTGATATAATCCACTCCACTAAGCCAGGCCAGTACGTGAGAGGCCGAGACCAGCAGCGCAGCCTGGTCAATGCAGTGAGACACCATCTCAAGAAGATCAATTTCCACAACTTCCCCTCTCTGCTGCAGGCGTTCAAACATTATGACAAGGTTTGACTGGAATGACTAAAGGCTGGGTGACACTTTGACACCACGTCACTTTCATCTACTGTCTGTTCAACACATCACATTTAAAGTAACATGAAAAAATACAGTGACACTTTATTTAGTGATCAAGGAAATCAGAGCACAGACATGTCATACAGACACAATGCTACTATAATTCTCCTGTCTCAGTCTCACACACTCGAGCCTCAAGGTCGTCGAGCTTTTTCATGTATATCTGTTCATGTAAACCACCAGGCAGGCAAGGGAATGATTGACAAAGAGGACCTGCAGGCGGTGTGCCATCAGTTCCAACTGGACGTGAGCAGGCCAGTTCTGGATGACCTGATGGACTACTGTGACACAGACAAGGACGGACTGATCGACTTCCTGGAATTTGCAAACTTCCTCAACTGGAAGGACAAGATGCCAGTCAGCAGTCGAGAGCAAGGCATTTTGACAAATGGTCGGTTAAATGCACTGTAATGTATCCTATTATTTATTAAGATGTAGATCTGGGCAATATATCAATATTTTATCAATGTCTTTTTTGGCTATTGATTGATCAGAGGTTATGTGTGGAGGCTCATTTTCTATTTGCCCCCTGCAGAGCGTCACACCAGCTCTGCTCCAGCCAACATCGGGCAGAAGCCTCCCTCAGAATCAGAGCAGCTTCCTGCCTCTCAGGCCTTAATAAAGCCTGAGGACTTGGAGCCCATTAAGCCAGGCAGCTCACTGAAGACCCTCAGGACCCTGAGGCGACCGAGGGCAGCCCCAGACCACTTCATGACCTCCTCCACCCTCATCGGATCTGTCAGTGATTCGTCCACGTTGAGTAAGTCAGAAATGATACCGCGATCATGTGGAATCAGGGAGACAGCAGACTGGATATCATTTGAGTGGACGATAGCAGGACTGTAGAATTGGGTGAGGCCAGCAGAGAATACTGACAGTGGTAACAGTAGATGGCATTGCTGTTCAAAGTTTAAATATTTTAACAGTAAAAGGGGATGTCAGTGGTGAAATATCAAAGAACTGCAGTATGCAGACGTTCTCCCACACATCTTCCTAATGACACAAGCATGACACATTTGAAATCACATTGTGGAAGACATAAAATACTGTAATGAACTTATTACATCCATTAATTCTTGTAGAGGGTTAAGTCTTACTGCCTCATATTATCAAATTACCTTACATGAGTCATTATCGTATTAACTTAAACCTGCTTAAATGTCCTCTGGAGCATCTGACTGGCCCATTTGGGGACGTTTGATTGTTATGTTTTAGTTTTTATATGCACTAATTTATTTATATTTCACAGACTCCCATGTCCTAACAATCCTTACTTATCATGTGGTCCCTCTTACATACTGTAGACAGCCGCACCTATGGGATCCCAACTGTGCGCTCCGACCTTCCAGCTCCACGCTTAAAGAGAGTCAGTGATACTAACAACTATGGTGATACGTCCACGGCTGCAGATCTTCTGCATCCATCAGTTCATGCCCTCCGGGGGGTTCATGAGGAACACTTCTTTTGTCCTCGCGCCAAGAAGGAGGTAGGCACTACGCACAATGTCAGCGTCATAGTGTACTTAAATAAAATAAGGTTTGCTGTGAGTGAATACAGTAAGGACGGTTGACCTACAAGAGGGGTAACCATGGCAATTGTTATCCAGAGTTTGGATGGTCATAAAAAAAATAGAAATGTTACAGAATTGCTTTTTGTGGGCCTGAAAAAGCCAAAAGGTCTTGGAAAAGTGAGACCCTAAAAAAGAGGCTGGATCATGGGGAGCACCACCAGTTGGTCCAGGAGCTTCTCCTCCATGATGGATGTTTCCAGGCATATTTTAAGATGACTCAGGGGCAGTTTGACAACCTGCTGCTCTATCGTTGGGCCGTATAGCTCTGGGTATCCAGCAACCGCTACCACCAGTTTCTCCTCCATTTTTTACCAACTGTAAACTTGTTGTCATTACCACCACAGAAGGCCCGCCTCTCAAATCATCCGATTGGTCAATGGGAAAAAAATGACGAAAAAGAGATGATGTGGGGCGTTTTTCCGCTCCAAGTTGGACGTTTTTTTCAACTTGAATTCAGAGCGCTTTAGCAAAAACGCTAGGCACCTAGAGCACAGAAATGTGAGGCGCATAGCGACGCAAAAACTGCGAGCAAAAAGCTTCATTCTCATTAAAAACAATTACAAAAAACCGCCTCCAGCTGCTAAAACTCTATCTGAGGCCTTAAAGATGGGTTTAAAAACAGATTGGTCATTAGAAGTGCCCCGCTGCTGCATGGTGGCCCCAGTGCAGTTAGATGAAGATAAAATAAAATAAAAGGGAGAAGACATAAATCTCACACCTTGTCCTTATTTTAGATGAAAATGTTTAGATACTGACACTCTCATCCTCCTCTCTACAGATTGCAGAGATCTTTAGGAATGTGGGTGTGAATATTTCTGAGGAGACGTTCGAGGAGGCCTGGAAGCTGGCGTCCATGAAGCATCCAGCCGGGGAGGTTTGTGTCGAGGTTTTCCGTAACATACTCAAGGAAATAAAAGCAATGTGATACTGAAGGGGTTTTTACCGGTACAGTGCTTCCTCTAAACAATACCTCTGCTGTTCGGTGGAAGCTTTGTAGCTCCAAAATGTTTTAGTTTGATTGGAGTGCATTTTTGATGGAATGATGGATTTCTGCACCCCAAAATCACTGAAAAGTAGGAGTAAACATTAATCTGAAGTGCACAGCAGTTGTGCTGTAACTAAGTTTTCACATGACAACCATAATGTGAAAATCTGTTTTTCACAATAACATTCTCAGTAACCTCAAATCATTTTTAAAGAGCAACAAAAAAGGCGTTCTAATGCAAATCACAATCTCGTTTCATTTTGTTTGCCTTTGCAAGTAGGACACTTATTTTTATACATCCAGTAATATAACAATAACTTTTTGTCAGTACGTTGTTTATATAATCTCAGCTACTGAAGATCTGAATTAACAGTTTCAACTTGCTTTCTTTGAAGTTGTGCATTTTCGCATTAATATGAGAACTCCCAAGAAACAGTGGGTTAAATTTAAATCTTTTTTATGTCAGTAGAGTCTGTTTGAAGAAGAAAGTAATGCCTGGGAATTCACTCCATGCCACAAAAATTTCATTTACATGACATTTTGATCCTACTCTGATCTTCTTCAGGTCAAAATCTGGAGTCAGTTTGTGCTGTGAAGTGACCTTACTAAATTCATCATCATCTGCACGTTATTTATTTGTGCTGTCACATACCCTACTACTATTAATTAATTCAGCTGTCCTGACCTTTTATTTTACATTGCTGCTTTATAATGATTGTGGTTATGAATTTGTTGAGACAATAAATAAGGGTTGTCATGATACCAGAATTCTAAACTTAAATACGATACTCATTTAAAAAAATAATACTTTATACCTCTTTTGACACCACGGCAAAACGAAAAAAAGTAATTGGCACACAAAACATGATTTTTTTTTTATTTTTTTTTTTAACGACCTGCACATAGTGCTGGTATAGAAAATATCACTGGAAACACGTCTTTGGTCACATGGTTGGTTCATTGTTCAAGAGAATGCCGTAACAGCCACAGGTTGAGGAGCAGTTGATTTTCCTCCCTGTTGTTTTATATGTGCAGTTTTGGGTTGAAAATCTGGTTGTAGTCCTGTTTTTTTAAAATATATTCTGCACATCTGATACTATTGAATGCATAGTTTGTATCAAAAAAAAGTATTGACTCTTTCGACAACCTCACAGTAAATGCGGAGAATGAACCCCCTTTATAATGACTAACATCAGGTGAATGTGTTGCATCATATAAGCAGAGTTTTGACCTATTTTTTGGATTATGTTTTTTTTGGAGTGTTGCTAATATTTGATGAATTTGCTGGAAGCCAGTTTGCAGTTCCTGGCAGAGTACCTCACCAAAAGAGGGTCACATGAAAATACATCCTGTACCTGACACACACATTTAATTATATAGACTTAATTCTTCATAAGCATTGAGTTGCTCTCATGTGATGACATGCTTGAGAACCAGACTGCTCCATCAAGTGTACCGCCACCAGTGAGGCCAGCAGCAAACAGCTTGTTTGATGCAGTATTATTGTGTACACTGTTTAGAGTAACCATGAATGCATCATGGAGCACAAACAAACGTTCACCTGTCAGGTGTATGGGTGGGTTTTCATCTTAAATATAAACCAACCTCTTCTGATGCCAACCAGCTTCATATTTTCCTCCACAGCAGGGGACACATCAGCATGCATGCATATAAAAACACATATTGGTGGAACAAAGCCAAATGCTTTTAATATAATCATAAATATTTACTGTGACTGATTCAAGTTTAAGTCTGCTCTTGTTTTGAAATCACAGATTGTGTTAAATTAGTCTCAGTCTTGACTTGTATTGACTTATGCTGTCTTTGTTCCGGTCTGAATATTAAGACCAGTGTCCTGTCAAAACAATTTTAAAAACTCCAAACACACAGAGGAGAATCTCCCACACACAAAACTGAGTAGCATAAAAAGTTAAAATAAGAACACAAATTAGTAAATAGATTTAAATTGAGATAAAAATTCTAATTAAAAGTCAAACTACAACTATAGTTATTTTTGAGTTTTGGTTTTATCTTCCCCGCCCAACAAACAATACACAGTAAGACATTTGTGTTGCAGTCCAGCCAAAGTATTCTTTAGTCTCCATACACATAACACAGTAATAATAACACCATGCATTCAGAGATAAACATGTCAGCAAACAAAAGAAATGTTTTCCATATTACATGTCTGTTTATAGAGAATCAATTCTCCTGTTAAAATGAAAAATATAATTTCATGCACAGAAGCGGCTCATTTTTCATGTCAACATTTCATCTTTCTTTTGTTGAAAGCAACATGTCATCTTTTGTTTGTACACCTAAGCTGCTGTGAAACAATGTTAAATCTTTAATTGATTGCTTTGGACTTAAAAATAACAGCCGGTGTGACTGTTTCTGTGCCGGTGACAGACCTGAGTAAACACTGAGAGGTGCGTTCTCACAACCTATCATTTATTCTGTCAGAGTATTAGATTTGATTTCCAAGCATGTTTATCTTGTAATTCTATTAATCAGCCTTGAAATGGGAAGTCTGACAGAGATAGCACAATTAATTTATGGCGTCTTGGAGCTGAGACACATGCAGACATACAGGCAGACACACAGACTTTCAAGGAGGTATGAGGGATTGTTTGCAATCTGTTTCGCTAACCAGATTAATGAAACAGGTTGGCACGCAGCCTCGACTGATGCACATGTCTGGAGATTACAGAACAGTAAAATAACTAATAAAAAAATCATTAGCTTTTTGTACATTCACCACTTGTTTTTGTTTTCTTGTTAATTTCCATTAAACTGAGTGATGCACAGGCGTGGTAAATTGTTTAATGTGCTCTCACCATATCCATGAGCATATTGACATGTGCTAAGCTAACCGCACTCATTTAATCTCATTACGACTCTGCGAGATGCTCCACTGGAACCAAAAAACCCCCACGCAAACTTCCACAGACCACATATTACTATGCAGGAAAATTAGAATAATCCTCAGCGTATTTCATTATGCATGAATTAGCGGCCGCTAATGACAGAATCCTCTCTGTTTGTCAGATATGTTGTCAACATTAATAATATTGCAGCGAGCTTAAACAGAATGGGATGACACGCAGCATTCACGAGCCTGTCAGACGTGATGTTTTTGACAAGTGACACGTTTCTGGCAGCGACCGTGGGCTCAGACACAGGCTGCGTTTGAGTTATAGTAAATGGGTGGGGAATTTTCTGCCAGGATTTGTCTGTCTTGCCTGCAGCGATGCAATACAACTATTTTCACTTGGTGTAAGACTGTTGTTGTGATCTCTCGTCGATCCATAAAGTCCTCGCTTGAACAGTAAACTGCGTCGCCGACAACCATGTACCAGAACATACGCCCCCTCCTGATTACTATGGAAAATGGATTATCTTGTTGCCCGTTGCTTCTCAAGAACCTAATACATTGACACCAATACATTTGGTCCCTTCTAAGTTTGATGTTTCACATGTGGAAAATATAGTTATATAATACAAGATCATCACCTTTAATGCTAATGCAGAGTCAGCTGTTGCATTAGCCTATTATTTATTTTTATTCTAACTAATATGGTTGACTTTCTTAAAGGTATACTATGCAGGAATTGTTGGTTGCTGTTTGTAAACAATATTGCCAGCAAAAAGCAAAGGTTAGGGTTCATTGTATTTGCATTTTTTTTGTTTGTTTGTTTGTTTGTTTTTTGATGCTGTGTCCTCAATTTTTGTAGCTTCCTCTTGGATGTGTGCAGCTTATGATGCCGCAACTGGTCGCTATTGTTTTTTGAAGTCCTGACCTCACCAGCACGCTGTGCCCAGGAACATCTTGAACATAGAAAAAAAAGAAAACCCAGGCAAAGGCAGATACTCTGCAGATAACTAATAAATACACCACCACACACTTCTAGTGGGTGATAAGTGATGATTGAGAGGCATTACTTCTTCATTACTTCGTCTTTAACCACTTGGAAAATGCGCGGTTGCCAAGCAACCATAACCAGCACTGTGTCATAGCCTACTTACAAGAAATGCTGATTGCGGAGCTGATTTTATTCCAGATGTTGTTTTCTAAGTGTGTATTTGGCCAAAAATATTCTCTGTGGGACGGATGTAAAACTTTGGCAACTTCTTCTTCGTCTTTATCACAAACTGATATTTACGAAGAAGGGACAGATATCTGCTGGCTGTGATTGGTTGCTCCTCGTCATTTGACATGCTGTCCGCGCTTCTGCATTCCAAAAGTTAAACTTTGTTTATCTTCAGGTGCAGCTGTTGCACCCTGAAAAACAGGTTCTCCGGAAAGCGTGTGCCCTGACGGCGTCGCTCTGCCTTTTGAGTGCACCTGCTGCACATCTACATTGAAAACAGTGAATCTGAGGGTGCAAAAAAACATGGCATGTGCACAGCCCCATAGTCTATACATTTTTTTATTGAGGAAAATCCTGCATGGTATATCTTTCAATGCACATCAAAAAGAAAATTTGCATTTGTGCTATGGTGTGCAAAGGTGCACTCTGGTGACGATACGCCTCTGGAGGTGGGGGTCAATACTTCGGGCTTATCCGGTATAGACTTCCTCTACAGTGCCCCAATCATTTCGGCTAATTTTTACATAAGGTATAAAGGTATCTGTTTATCTATCTATCTTCAAATGGACTTTTTACCTACCGTTCAGACATAATTGGTGAATGCTACTCGGACTGCAAACTGAAGCCAGAACACTCGCTATAAACACAGTTGTTAATAGAGATTAGTCCCCCTTATCACCTCAGTAATTTTTGCACAGTCCCTTAGTTTATCGGAGCAGCTCAGTATTGATTATGACTGGGGGTCGGACCAGATTCCCTGTGTGAATTAAAGGGTCATGGGTACACTTTGGTGCTCTGATCAAAGCAATGTATTGACACAACATATTGGTTTAACAAACTCAACAGAGTTCATTCTTGACCTGTGAAGCAGTGGTTTGACAAAACAAAAAAAAGTCCATCAGCTTTTTCTAGTACTTTAAGATACTTCCTCAGTTGTCATGGAGATGACTTGGTTATCGTCATGATCTATAGTAAGGCGGTGACCATATACCAGCATCTGTTGTCATGGGACCAAAGTTTCACACTTACTGTAGGTCACATGATGACAACTGAGCAAACTCCATTTGCGGGCTATTTTTAGAAAAAGACACTTTAAAGTCTTCCTCCAGTGACCTCATCACTCTGTCATACAGTGTATCTGAGCTGAAAACACCGGACACAGTTGTTCTAGCACTGTGACCTCCTACAATGATTTGCTCACACATTTTTCTTTGGAAAACCACTGGAGGGGGGCTTTAAAAGCATCTGAGGGTCTGAGGTAGTAGGCCGTAATGACATGGGTTAATTTATAAAGTTCAGAGGTCTTCAGGTGTCTGCACAGCGTCATTAGTATGGCTCTGGGTCCCGTTTCATGTGTTCCTCATAGACAGCCCTTCAATCTGCTGCTCGCAGGTGTCTGTAGTCTTTTATGAATAAGTGAATCCAACCAATCACTTCTCCCCTGTTGTGTCTTGATGACTGACAAATGGCCTTGCAGCGACGAGTCAAATCACTCGGCCTGTTTCCAATGCCAGTGCCAAACAGTCGTGACTGTCCAGTCGGGAGAGGCTCCTCTCGTCAGCTCTCGGTGAAATCTGGAAGGGAAGGGGGGAGGCATATTTAACAAGAGCTACAATAGTTTACTCTCTAAACATGAACAGCTCCCCAGGCTGGTGTAAATCATGCACACCCTGTGTCTCCTATACTCAAAATTCAGAAGAGCATCCTAAATTCTCCTTAGCAGTACAAGTGTATTCAGATTGCTGAAGGAAATTGACTATCACTCAACTCAAACTAACTACTGCATCTTGTTTCACCTTGACAACAACGAGGTGAGGCTTCTAAAAATGGCTTCCTTATCCTGCCAAACTGTCTGTTTACTAGCCTTTGGGATAACATTTGAAGTGTAACAGGCTTTCTCAGAGGGGATTTCAAGACCTGAAACAATAGGAAAGAGAATCTGGCTAACTAGATAGGTGGGCATTAGGTAGAATACCCACACCATGCAGTCCAGCATCTAAACGGATTACTGATTGGAAATGGAAAGAGGCTTTGACTGACATGCAGTGGGAGTGGAATTATTTCCACTTCCTGTTACAGTGGAGAATCATATCAGTGGTTCTTTAGACCCAAATCAGAACAACTGAAGTGATGCAGAATTTTAAATCTCTGACAAGCAGTCAAAGGTCCTGTTTTAGAATGGAATTCATAATATTGCAGCTTCATCTAGCTGTTCACGTGCTGAAACGGGTTCATTCAGACATGACAGGACATTTACATCAAGAGCCAAAAATCTGCACAATATTTGTCACCTGGTACACGAGACGGACCAGTAGCACTGCTGAAAACAGAGCTTAATAGATATCAAGGACGAAGACGTTTGTTTCTTCTCTCACAGGTTCAGAGCCTCTTTTCCAAAGTCAGTGATCAGGCATGGAGATAGACAAGACATTACGATGGAACTTTTGTTTGCTCACATGCTGTATGTGAAGCGTTTTGTTGGAATTCCATCCATCCAATTGGCGTGAATGAACATCTAAAATATAAATAGGGAAACAGCTGGTCTTAATTATTATTGTGCTTGTATAAGATTTTCTTATGGACGTCTTCTGCCCCAGTTGAGCTTCACAGTGCACTGACTGGCTGTGTGTTCATATTTGGGACTTACAGATGTACTACAGTGAATATAGCATCATGAGATTTTCTCATGCCTGGCTTTTATTTACTATTCTTGCAATCAGTGCCTTTATTAAAGTGATAGTTCACCCCAAAATTTAAAAAAATATGCATTTTTTTCTCTTACCTGTGGAACTATTAATCAGTCTAGGTTATTTTGAAGTGAGTCACCAAGAGTTGGAGATGTCTGCCTTCTCTAGAATATAATGGAACTAGCTGGCACATGGCTTGTGGTGCTGAAAGTGCCAAAAAATACACTTGAAAAACTCAACAACGTCTCTTTCATGGCGCAGTTTCTCAAAGGAACCTTATTTCACATAGGAACTATTTTCTGTCTACCGTACTACACCCAACAAACCGTATCACCGTGCAGATGGAGGCGTGTATCTACTGCTAGCTCACCTGGCACCACTGAGATACCCAAGTTCAGCTGAGGAGGACGCTATCAATTTTCACATCTCGTGCTGTCATGAGCATGAGCCTCCTGTCTGTGAGTAAATGCATGCTTCCATCTGTGCAGTGGTATGGTTAGAGATGAAAGACATTACTGTTGAGTTTTTCAGAAGTGTTCCTTTTGTGCTTTGAGCACCATTTCAAGAAGGCAGACATCTCTACGGTTGATGTCTCAAACACTTTCTGCACCTCTCACTTAAACAATCTGGACCTGTGAATAGCACTACAGGTAAGAGGAAAAATATGTATTTTGGATTGGATTGGTGAACTGTCCCTTTAATATCTCTTACTTTAAGTGTATTAGTGGCAGTCCTCCAGTGAAATAAATATGTCTCTTTCACCGTTTTCCCCAGTGAGGCATTAAACATTAGATGAACTCTCATCCACCCACACGACACTTTGGAACATTCTCCGAAATTATCCTTTCCACATACATTAAAAGGAAAAAAAAAAGGTACCTCGCCACCATCAGCTTTGTGGCTCTGTTACCCACCCAACAAAAACAGACATGCCATATGTTGGAAGGCCTGCAGGTAACTTTGAGCTTTTGCCAACATATAATTAAGTCTCTAAGTAAATATTTGTACCTTTTAATTGTGAGGCAAACAGAGATTCTGGCACCTAACATCTGAGCAAATTAATGATCAAAAATTAGCTTTGAGCAAAAAGAGTCCGCACACACTGCATGAAATATATTTGAACATGTCAAAGCTGAATGAGGGAAGATTTGATTGTAATCCATACTTTTGGATGTATGGCATGTCTCTGCAAATGACAATCTGAGTTCTTACTCATAGACTGCTGTCACTATTTTCTTCTCTGGGCTGCCATCTTCACTCGAGGCCACTTTGAAGATCTTCGTGCCCTCGGGGTCATCAGGGCCTTCATATGTTGACAGGAACCAAAACCTCATGACGATGAAGCAGTACTTTCTACCTACAAGTAAAGAGAAAGAAACCACAGACCATGTAATGGACGAGTACTAAAAGCTTCACTTGAAACCTGCGTACAATCACATCTGGGAGCTGGCAGGTTTACATCTACATCCTCTATAAGTGATCTCTTTCTCAGCCGCAGTTAGAGTTAAGTGCCTTGCTAAAGGACCCAAATTCTAAAACATGGATGCTTCACACACGTCTTCATCATCTCCGACAGCAGATTAGATCTATACTATCAGCACCTTTTCAAGATTGGTGTCACTAAGTCAGTATCAGACAAAATGTCTCCCCTTTTGAGTAATGGCCAGAATTGTGTTTTTGCAGAGCATTATGATGTCACAGCGAAATTGACCTTTGATCTTCTGGATCTAAAATGTCATCATCACGTTATCCTATTGGATATTTGTGTGAAATGTTGTCATAATTAACGCAGAAATTCTTGAGTTATGGCTATAAACGTGTCTTGTGAGGTGACAGTGAGCCTGACCACCAAACTCTTCAGTTCATCCTTGAGTCCAAGTGGACATTTGTGCCAAATTCCAAGAAATCACCTAAAAGCCTTCCTGAGATATCGCATTCATGAAAATGGGACAGATTTAAAACCTGAAAACAAAACGCCTCCAGCCATGGCTGTTGCTAGCGCGGAGGAATAACAAAACAAATCTGACGTAAAATATTAAATTGATCTCTCTTTCGCTCTGGCTGTTTGACATAAAACGCATAACTTCCGGTTCGCCAGTGCAGTAAAGTTGCCACGGTTGCCTGAAACTAAAACTCCGCTTTACTGAGAAATACCCTTAATTTATATGGAAACATCCGACAATCCAGCTTTAACAGAGAAAGAGATTCCACCTCTGAAACTGAGATTATGAGTCCACAAAATCTTTCTTGACAGGACAGCATGGACAGTTATATAATCTTTGACTAACCGCATCTAGTTCAAGAAGTATACTGTAACTTGGCAGCAGAGCAGTTTAACTGGTTTGCTCAGGTTGTGAAAGGCATCACCTGACCAGAATAAGGACCCTGGTAGACCATTCAGTGTTCTCAGCCACACAAAACTCACCATATCTATCAAAGACGACCGACACGTCTTCCGGCAGCATGAATATGATGTCATCCATTGTGACAGCTAGATGTTGTCTCTGAGCATCAGTGAGAGACTTGCACCTTGTCTTCACATAATCTATCATCTGAAATTGCAAAAGAGATCATCAAAACCAAAATACTGATGAGGCTGATCGATCATTATTACCACAAATTGACTATTTGTTAGCGCAAAACCCTGTGCAATGACTTTAGCCCTGCATTTCTGAAAGGTTTATTACATTATACTGTACTCTGCTGTGCTGATGTTCAATTTTAAAATGACTACAATACCCAAAATGAGAAGTCTAATTTATCAGTACATGTGTGTTTTCACAGCAGGAGTAAAACATTTACTTTTCATCTGAATATATCTCAGTTTGTGTTCATGTACAGTATGTGCATGATCTGTTACCTCATTGGACACAATCCCCACTAGCTTGTGGTATCTGCCACTGGACATCATGTTGGAGACGTGGATCAAAGCCTGGGATGGATGAGGGACAACAAGGTGATTCATTTTTATTTTGTGGGTTAGACATGTTAACTGTAACTTTTGTCTTTGTCTTAAACTGCTGATAGTTGTAAAAAAAACTAATTAGTAAGTGTCTCACATTCAGACATGGGTCCTTATAGTAGTTTGTTCTGGAGCTTTTAATCATATCCATCAGCAGTTTGCCCAGTCGTCATGTCACTGACGTTCGAATTTCCATTTAGCATTTAAGGACGTGAGCCTCAGCTTTGAGCCGCAGAGCGTTCAGCAATAATGGAAATTTGACGACGAGGAAATCTCCATCTGCTGATGAAGATCATGCCACGTGATTGAAAGCTCCAGAACAGCTACTAAACAGACCTTGAGGTGAGACTGCTTTCTCAACAGGAATTAGGAACTGTACTTAACATATCAGAGTTAAGGTTATGACCCTCCCCAGCCCTACAGATATTACTCCTTGAGCCTCTCAGAGTGACCGGGGGAAATGCATCCTCCCTCCACCATAAATAACCATATTTCACAATTTCTAGCTGTGATGAATGTGATTTTTTTTTTTTTTTTTTAAAGCAAACATGCCTTTCAATCACACTTGCAGGTTTTGGAGTTCTGAATGTACCATAAAACTTCAATTAATAGCCCATATTCTGACTTCATGACAGCTTCAGAGGAAGGTCACCACTTGTTTTTCATCATGCCTGTAAATCTGAATGTGTAGCATCTCCACATTGACACAAGTTTAAACATTTATGTTTTAATGTGCGATGTAAACAGCTACCTAATGTTAGCGCAAGTGGGTAGTCAACAATCTGGTTTTATTTTTCAAAAGAGCTCCTGAAAATATAAACTGCTTGGCAACCAGATCAGGCGTCTAATCGAGACAGGCCTTTATTTGTCAAAGTGTATAGCTACACAGGGCTTGTAAAAGGGACTGGGCGTTTAATTGAAGTTTTCCGGTATTTAATAAGTGCAAAATACAACCCTTTAAAAAGTGAAATGTCCCTCCCCTAAGACGGATCAAAAACAACTCCATCCCCAGTGCTTAAAAAACTATTTGAAGTGCTTGCCCCATTTTGCACCACCCCCTCTCATAAGTAACAAACAATCCCTTATGTAGTTTGGTATTGATGGAGTTAAATATAGTTAAGGGGCATTTGAGAGCTTTGCAGTTGGAGTTGTGATACATTAACTTAAGGGTTTGAGGGTGTTTTCATCTCTTTATGTTACAAGCTTATTATAAATTCCTTCCTCATCTATCCTATGGTTGACCTCTATATGAACCCTCCAGTAGCCATGTCAAAACATCACTTAGGTGCCATTCAAATCTGCAGTATCACAGAGAGGCTTTCAAACCATTTGCCACATAAACTTAAGAATAAACTTAAGAAAGAAAGAGCCCACAGTAGTCTACTGATTTGGAGATGTGAGGCCTTCCATCGGCCACACATGGACTACAGTTACCCAGCTGTTTATCCCTGATGCAGCAGGGGTTAGTGGAGGACCTGTTGGTGCTTCTCTAAGTAGTTACCTGCTTCACTCCTCTTTCAAACTCCGCTGAGCTCATGTCTATCTCAAAGTACAGATTGATGAGATAGATGATGACTTTGCACCGGATCCATGTGATCGGGTCCGGGACACCGACTACAGAGACACCGGGGTGACCACCGGAGCTCCCCGATGGCCCGTCGGCTCCAGGCTGAGAGCTGAACAGTCTGTGTTTCTGACCTACGAACACGAACCTCCGCCGGCACAGTCCCCGTCTCTGTGCTCCTGGTACCCCGGTAAAAGGACGCACACTCATCCCCGCCAATTGCTGGTGCGCGGCCGGCTGCTTGCTGCAGGTCGTGCCCTTCTTCCAGGCGCAGACCCCGGGTGAAGCTGCTGCGAGGCCGCCGAGCTCCCGGCATGCAGCGAGGCTGCTGATCCGCTGCATCTCAGCGAGGAGGGCGCAGCATTACCGGCGGCGTTTGGACCACGGTTCATGGGCTGAAGCAGCCTCCATTGTCATTGTTGCCTTTGGTAACCTTATGCAACTCACCCCATGCTGTACCCATAATCCTTATCGTGGATACGACGTACACACATGACTGCTGCCTTCAGGTACTGTTGGAAATGTAGAAACAATCACATGGAGCACTTCATCTGAGGCTCTTTCACTTCTCACAGGTGTTTCTGTGTTTGACTTTTTTCTGCTGATGATTTATTATTATTAAGTAGCAAATAAACAAAATAATCATACAGTAGTAGACGGACATAAAAAACAGGTTACTAAAGGAAGCATGAAAACTGAAAACAACATATAATGATTTGATTTACATATCCAAAAAGGAGTAGGAGAGAGGAAGTACAAACTTATTTACTCTCACCCCCTCTTCATGAATTAATAATTACATGAATAAATTATGAAGCCCCCCATCAGAATAAAGCTGCACAATAATTAATTATCCTAGACCTATTCTTATATATTAAATGAATTACCAATAATATTTGTCTTACAGCGAGATATGAAATAATTACAAACATACTTAGAAAATAAAAATTCTTATATAGATACCTTATTCAAAAAAAATCTCTATGCAGTTATCTTGATTAATATCTGTATCAAGTTTTTTTAATTGATAAATTGTACTGTTTGTATTTAACAGATTGCTCTGACTCATTGTCACGCCTGCAAACCAAAATTTCTTCAGAAGAACAACAAGAGTTGAATTTGAAAACCGGAAGGACATGTTTTATTTGTACATTTGGCATTTGACAGTAGGCCTAAACAAAAATAGATTATGTGATATAGAGTATGTGGAGGCGGTTAGTGTTGACACGTTAACTCATATTCTACAACATATTATTTACCAATGACAGCAAAGCCAAATATTTACCAGAACAAGTAGGCCAAACACATATCCTCCTGAGACCCTGTATCCTTTCTTTATACAGTATGAAGCCATCAAATTTTGGGTTTACTTGACTTTACACTTCATTCTACTTAACTTAGACCTGTTGTCCGACTTCATGGACACTTTTTTCTGCAGTCTAGTTGCAGTAAGAGCACAACTAATCCATGTAAAAACAAGATGGCTGATATCTCTGTCAAGTCAGTTTACAGCTGATCCAGACACAAAAGTGGACAAGGTCCAAAACCTGATCACATTTCATGGTTGAAACTTGTTTATTTATGATTAATAATGTTTGTAGTTTGATTTCAACAAATTTGACCAATTTTAGCAACAGTAACAAGCTAAGACATTATTAATTAGGAAGTATTGTCACGTTTGAGGACACTGGGGCTTAATTATTGTTGCCATGTTTAGTTTTTTCACATGTATCTGGTCCTATTGATCCCAAATAGCCAGGAGAAATTAAAAATGCATACTAAACAAAAGTTCAGGTCTCAGGTCCCCCTTATTAGTTCCCACGCGTTTGCATTTTAATCACTAACAAGCTTCATGGGTTGTGTCCCATTAATTCTAATGCAGTATGGATCTAAAATGAAATCAAACAAAAGCTTTTAAAAGACATTATCTGACTGATTAAATGTTTCTGTCTTCATGATTGAGTTAAGTCGAACTTACAGGGAGCACTTGAAGGCAGCAAAGTGACTTTACTGACAGAATCCAGTAGAGGGAGATAAATATCCATATATGTGCCTCGTGTAGTGTGTGTGTGTGTGTGTGTGTGTGTGTGTGTGAGAGAGAGAGAGACAAAGTATGAGGAAACTAGAAAACAAACAAACTTTGAGTGTGTCTGTGCGTGCATCTATTATTAACACAATAAAGGAGAACATCTAAAAAGCCAGTGAAAGTGCCTACACACACACGCACACACACACAGAACCAGTTGTTCCAACGGGCCAGCAGTTTCCGCCTAGTCTTTGTTTTCTGCGCAGGTGCCCAAAATGATTGTGCGAAAATGTGAAATTTGATCAGCAGACCAAAACATCATTAAGTCCCCGCTGTTCTCGGTGATTACAGGTCAGCGCCGTTTCCCCGTCGCTCCTCTTTTCCTCTGCAGCGCGCGCTCGCACGCACGCACGCGGCAGACACCTGCGCGCGGCCCCGCCCACCTGAAGTTCTCCCAACTAATTTTATTTATCAATAATTAGCAGCGCAGCACTTGGTTATTTGAAATTGCGCTCAGACACGGAAACCTTTCCGGGATGTATCATAGTAATTATGTGTGTCAGTTGAGAATGCTTTTTACATCTGCGAGTCGAATGGAGCAGAATATTAACAACTTCCACACTGGATGAGATTAATTGTCGGAGAATCTGCAGATAAACACACAAGTGAAGAAGAGTTAGAGTCCAGGCTGCTGTTTAATACACCATAATCAAGACGTTTAACCAGGACAGAGAGAGGAGGAGGAAAGAAGAAAGATGGAGTAAGACAAAGAAACAAGAAAAGAAACTTACAAATGTGAGATACTTGGACACATCTTAATTAACTATGTGAATAATTAACATGTGAGATGTCTCATGAAATCAAATTGTAACACACACACCAGACACATTTATGTAGATTTTTGCAACCCAGAGAAACTAGTCCACAACATCAAGTTTGAACCTGCAGTCAAACTTCAATACGTTGACCACAAACACCAGTTAAACCAGCTCAGAACCAGCCTGCAAGGTCAGTTACTACCAGTAGGGCTGCAGCTACAGGCCACTGAGGTCACATCCTCTCTTTCTGGAAATTTGGTCATTTTACAAATCCTAGGAGGAGTTGACACTCTCTATAGAGTTTTAATGAGTGTCTCTGTTATTCCTTTGTGTTAATATCTTTGAATATGACTGTATTTAGGCAAAATACTGATATAAAATGAAGGAATTTCAGTTTTTACCCCCAATTTATATTCCTTGCAGGTTGAAAAATTCATTAAAGCAGCAGATAAAAGTAACAGAAGATATAATTTGGCACTAAATTAAATAAATGACGTGAAAAAAACTTTCACATTTACAATATTTTGGAAGGTGTCATTAGGAGGAAATTGGATTCATGACTCTGCTGCCTTGACTTTCTTACCAGTGTTATAGTGCTTACACTACAGGCTGTGGAGGTTTACCTGCTGCTGGGACACTCCTGCTGAGAGTGTCTTATTCATGGACGCGCCTCAGTGTCACGGAGATGGTGTGTGTGAGCTGTAACGTCGCAGTCTTCATTGAGCTCTTTCCTCTGTTGTGCCACTGAAAGGCACTGTTGTCCACAGCTGAGCTCCTGGGCAACACGATGAAGACGTCGCGTTGCACAAACCTCCAGAGTGTTTAAAGGCAGGTCACTGGTGGAGCGGAGTTCAAATATGAAGCCGTTTATTGATAATGATGAAATCTGAAAATTGGACTTGGATGCACAGTATATACTGGCATCTGTGTCATGTGGGAAAATCAGATGAAACTTCTCACATGTTTAAATGTTGTAGGTTGCAAAGACAGTTAACAGGATATAAAAGCAGAGACAGGTTTCAGCTCTACAGAATATATTTAAAATGACTCCCTACTTAATACAGAATGCATAACATTGACTGTGTCCTTATTCTGAGTGAGAAATGTGTTCTCTGAATTACAGTTGTGTGACACTTCACCTGTCAGTGATGACAAAAGTGTCCTGAAACCTCAATTTACGACTCACTATAAAGTAAACTATAGAGTGTCTGTCATGTAGTGAACGAGGGATTGATTTTGAACGCAGCCTGTGTTTCTTTTTTTTTCATATTTTCCTCAAATTTTTGTTTTTTAATGTAAATTATTGCGAGGGGTTTGCTCTGAAAATATAATCCTGAAAGACAACGAGTAACCTGTGTCACGGGGTCAAAAGCAAACAGTCATTTCATTATTTTAAGCGTCAGATGCCACAAAAGGTTGAGAAACGTAACAACGTTGTGATACATGATATAAAAGTGATTAATGTATTTCATGTCTTTATCCACACCTTGTTTGTTCTGATTCCAACTTTACATCTTTTCAAAATGTTCCACAGTGAAGCGATAATGGCCTCAAAAGAGCAGATTTTAGTTTTTGTTTTTGTCTTTCTTCATTATCAGCTTTATAAAATAACTTGCTCAACTTTCCGCTGGAAAGGATGGCATGTTAAATCTGAAAATATGTTGTTTTTGTAAATTTGAATTTAATCTGGGCTACAGGTATTGGATTTTTGTGTCTGCTGGCAGGGAGCCACACACAATAGCAAGCACAGGTGTTGACCAAAAAAAAAAAAAAAAGGATAGAGAGTGAGAGAAGAGAGAAAAGGGAAAAGGCAGAAAGTGATTTGAATTATCATTGTAGAATTCATTTGGCATCTCTGCCACGGGAAGAGCTTTAAATAGAGCCACAAAGTTTTATGTAAAATTGATGCATGGATATTTCCAAAATTTATGTTTCTACATTTCTTTTCTGTTTTTTTTTCTTCCTGCCGAAGCTTTCACTAACTCTCCATTTCAAAATGCAAACGCTTGTTGATCGAGAGTACAGATATCTTTGACTTGAGCGTGGGGTAATGAGAGAAATTAGCACAAATGCTCTAAGTAATAGTTCCTGATTTTTTTCACTCACAAATTATTTTTCAACTTGTTTTTGGATCTATGCATAAATTAAAAAATCTGCTGAAATTTATTATTCATCTGAGATGTGATTAATATGCAAAATTATGCAAATTAAGATGCAATTAGGCTCCAATTCTCTAGTGGAATTTTCCATTATAATTTAATACAAAGTAACAGAGTAATTGGTGTCACGTGTAATTACGGTTACTCAAGTGCACTTTCAGGCATGCAAATGATTCGCTATATGTTGGTTATCCTATGCAAATGTACCATGTGGTGTTTTAACAAGTTGAGGAAAACACAATGGGTGCGTGGTTACCCAATGGGGTTGGAACAAGGTAAAGACACCAGGGTGTATTTTTTTAAATGAGAGAACTTGGAAAACTTTCAGCGCTCAGATTATCACCAGTTAACACTTCCAGTCACTCTTTCTGAATTTTTGTGGAGAGGCACAGACTTTCATCTGTCACCAATCAATTAATGAGAGAAAACTGTTTTGGATGTGACTCGGGACTTGAGGGAAAGGAGGCGGCTTCCAACACGAAA